ACAGCATATTGTGCGTTAAATTACGCAATAGTACCTCAAAGCGTAATGGAAAATCTATTGAATAAGATAAGAAAAAAATTTTCCTTATTTTGAAATCACACGCAAGTGATTGCCATTTAATATCAACTGAAACAATTTTCTTTCCAACAGAACTGTGCCCGTTATAATAGACCAATAAAAATAAATATGAAAAAAAAGTATAACATTGCTACTATATTAATTTTTTACTGAAAAGACATACGCTCTCTGTGCTATCGGCATTAAAACAATCCAAATACTCTCACTTACTAAATTATTTTGATTAAATAACTTTTCAATGTAAAAACAAGCTTAGAAGAAAAAAACACTATAAAAGTGTAGTCCATGATCATGCATGACTATATATACATTATTAATATATTAATGCATAGGTATATAGAAAATTTCTTGTGATATTACAAATTCTGAAAGATTGTAAGCTCCTTGTACTTTTTGTCTTTTATTTATTCAAAATTCTAAATTTGAGAAAAAAAAATATTTTGTTATTAGTAGTACAAAATTTTCTGTAATCCTTAAATTCCCAGAATTTTTTTTTTAATATTTTTCTGCTTTCGTTTTTTAGCACTTTTCCAAAAAAAATTTTGAAAAAAGTGCTTATTAGTTTCACTCTGTCCGTCCGTCCGTCCGTCCGTCCGTCCGTCCGTCCGTCCGTCCGTCCGTCCGTCCGTCCGTCCGTCCGTCCGTCCGTCCGTCCGTCTGTCCGTGTGTCTGTTTACAAAACTTCTACACCTTTGAAGATAGAAAGCTGAAATTTAATACGTACATAGATCTTCACTAGAAACTTATTCCCGTTAAACAAAATTTTTACCTATCTCCCCCCCTCTAGAAGTTATACCCCCCCAAAACCCTAAAAATGGCCTTTTTTAAATATTTGTTGCAATGAAACCATAAGCATTTTTGAAATTTTGCAAACGCAGAAAGGCAGTGGCTTGCTTCCCCTTGCGCGGTATACTATAGTTCAACTTAAGAAAAACAAAATGGCCGCTCAAATTTACCGTTATTTAAAGACCTTTTTTTCCAAATTTTTGATGTCGTTTTTCTTCTAGACCCCAGGCTGTAGAAGCTTGAAATTTTAGGAGCTTTTAGATATTAATAAATAGTTCATTTTGTTAGAAGAAAATTTTTTTCCATCTCCACCCCCTCTCAAGTTATCACCTCTTGAAATTCGTAAAATTTGAATTTTTGACACCCTATATTTTCGAAACCGCAAGCTTTTCCAAATTTTTATAAACGCAAAAAGCTAACGGTAAATTCCGTGAAATTAAAAAATATAATTATTTTTCTTAACTCACACAATTACCCCTTAAAATCGAGCATTATGTTAACCCCTTTTTATATTAATTTTTGCTTTATTTCAAAGACTGCATATATGCGTCATCCTAAATATATGCAATCCTAGAAATAGTTACGTATATGAAAGAAAATAATTTTAATAGTGTGATAGCTATACATAGACTGTATTTAAAAGCAGAATTTTCACTTGTTGAAGGGAAAAGTGCTACAATACAAACCATTGGTTTGACCTAACTTTATTACATTATTACAATATTATGACCCATTTTGAAATGATGTACATTGTACATGAACAACACAATGAGAAGGAAAAATATTAGTTCCTTATTTTTTTTGGCTTCTCTAAATGAAAAATGCATGATTCCTTTATGGTTATTTTTTCTTGTTCTGCATATTTATAATATCCTTTTGAAATGCAAGGATTTAGGGCAAGAGACTTAAAATAAATAATGTGAAAAAGTTATAAAATAATTAAGGAAATATGTATTTTAAATGCTAAAATGTTTAAGGATATGAAAAAAGAAACAAGAAAACGAAAATTTTTTTATTCTTGTGTTCAAATTTTAAATAAGTTCATTATGAAAGGATTGTTGATGTGTATATTTACATACGTTTGTACTTATTACAAAAAATTAAGTAAAAATATGAAAATTTTATAAAAAATGAAAAGAAAATGAGAAACAGCAAATTAAAATATAAAAGAGAAAAATGAAATCTCTGACCGTTAAAGCACCTTTGCAAACATAGAATGTTCATACATTCTTGGTAACATGTGGGAAGAAAGAAAAAAATCTTTTTTTTTGAGTTTTATTCATGTTTACGGTTTTGCTTGTTTTTGTGTACCAAAATGTCCTGTATGAGAAGTCATTTGCATTTCTGTCTTTATACAAAAAAATCCTGTCTTAATACAAAATTTGTTATTAAAATAAATTTCAAATTTTTAAAATAAAAATGTTCATAGGTTACAATTAAAATTTTTAATTGCCTTCAAGCTACGTAATTTCGAAAAATATGAAATGAAAAAAATTGTATTTAATTTATACTGATTGCATTTAGTAACTCTTTTAGAATTTTGGGTAAGTCTATAGAGTTTTTGCATATTTTTACCGACCGTATTGTGTAAACAGATATAGAGATAATATAGAGTTTTCGGTGGGAATGCATTTCTCCATAGTAGGGAAGTGTAAATAAACTATTTTTAGCAACCTGAAGTGTAAGTTTATTTCCACTGTGGGACGGACTGATCAACTTTTGGGGTATATCGGGCCTCGGCAACTGCACTTTTCACCGGGCCTGTTTTATATTTTTGATAGTTTTGAAGAAAAAATTAAACCGATTTACTTGCAATTTCATATATAAGCTTTGCTCGACCATCCGCGAAAATTCCTATGTTTTGGAAGAAATCAGGCATTGGCAACTGGACGTTTACTACGGGCCAAATATACATTATTGTGTATATAAAGAGAAATAATCAACCGATTTCATTGAAATTTAATATATGAATTCCCCGTATTAAATAAATGAACATATAAATTTTTTGGAAATATCAGGGCTCGAAAAACTGATTTGCGGGCCGATTTTACATTTTTCACCATATCTACGAAACGAATTGATGGAATTTCTTGAAATTTGATATTTGACTTCCGGTTGTTACCGAAACTAACTGTCGAGCATTTCAGTGAATTCAGGTGGCACAAAACGAAACTCTACTAAGAGCCAAATTTACATTTTTCCATATATGTTAACTATAAGCTTTTTAATGCCCTAAAAATTGGAAAGAAGTATTTAACAGACATTTTTATAATATTCTGTAACACTTTCACTTAACTAGACAATACACAATGCGATCGGTTATGTGCTGATCACATCAGATTCTTTATATTAAGTGGCTAAAGAAATTTTTTGATAATTTTCTCAAAAATATGTCCTATAAGAAATGAAAACAGCCATATTTATATTTATCAAAATGGACTTCAAGGACTCAGACAGACATGAAATTTTTAGATTTGTAATAACAGCTTGATTGTAGAATCATTGCGCGCACATCTAACCAACACTATTGCGTCAATCCAAATCAAATGCGTTAAAATAGGCATTACAATCAGTTTTTAAAAAATTACAAACTCTTTGATTATATAATTGCTTGCAACCATGTAGTTGAATTTGTGCGCGCTTGAATATAAATTAATGGAATACAAGTAAGCAACCAAACAGTTGCAAAACCGAAAAATTGCATCTCCTGTCTGAGCTCTAATATTAAATATTCATTTAATTTCGAAAAATTTAAGCAACCTTGCTATTTTATATTAATAAATTTTTGCTATATCTCATTGTCGCAACAATATCACAATATGCCAGGTAAACTAGAACAATACTTACATTATAATTCTTTTAGTTGAGATAAAAAACTCCAAAAATTCAGAATACTATGGTATCACAATCTAGTCCGGTTCAGGCTTGTTCGTCGCCTTACGCGGTTTCCAAAAAATCCGCCCAGCCTTTCCACCTTCACCTTCAAGGTAATGAACAATATGCGAATAATAAGTAAATTTCTTCTAATTTTATAATGTTGAATTTAAGATTAGTCATATAAAATTAAAGCCTGGAATTAAATTTTCAGCTTTTTGTTTTGCAATGTTTATATATAGGTCTACATGCTATCGAATTAATTTCGTAAACATAAAGAAAAATGTTTTGAAAAACATTATAGAAAGAAAAAAATTTTTTTTTAAGTTTTCAATGGTGTCCCTGTTTTCCTGCATTTATTGCAAATGCTTACTTTGCATATCTATATAGTAGATTCGGCACTGATCACAAATTAAGTAGCAAGTGTACTTAGTTTAACATTCTGTCGAACATTCTGAAACTCAAAATACAAAAGTTTTTTCTAAATGTTTAACCTTTGAACTTTATAATTTTGTTTATCAAAAATAAGTTTAAAATGAGGGCGTCTAGTAGTTTTCGTGCAATTTTAAATGAACGATAAAAATATTGAATAAACTTAACTTGTTTGAAAGTTGAATATTACATCCATAGGATATCATTGTTTGAAAATTGCAATTCACTTATCATGCCAAGTTTCTCTGTACAATATTAAATTTCTTAAGTTTTTACAGTTTAAACCAATTTTATAATACTGGCTTGAATAAGGGCATAATGTAAGAGCTTTTAAAACATTGAAGTTACAAAAAAAAAAGTTTGAATCGCACAGCTAGTTGATATATTAACATTTATATTGAGACCCAGAGTAAATTCTTTTATCAAAATAATGATAAGATATGCTCGTTTATTATTAAACAGATAAGATCAAAATATTTATGATACAAAATTCTAGGGTAATTGTTAATAATATTATAAAAATACAAATTATGGCTTTTTTTTGAGTAGAATTTCTAGTTCTTGATAATTTTTTATAACATTCCAATTGCTTAAGTACATGAGTTAAGTCAAAATTTTATCTTATGAAATGTATGTATGCAACTAATCGGAAATATTTCATATAGTTCACCAAAATTTTATTAATAATCTGGAAAATCTACATTTAACTCATTTTGAACAATTACCCCAGAACTAGTAAGAATCATTTGCACCCTATTTGCAATGAAAATTATAATAATACTATAGTAATAATTAAGCTTTACACCTGTTCATAAGTAAAATAATTTAGAGTGAAAAAAAAAACGGACAAAAAACAAAAGCCACTTACGATTATTGTTGTTTTTATTTTAGTTGTTGTTCTTTCAAATGGAATTTCTAATCGATAATTTTCTTATCAAAACTACGAATGATTCATTCAATTTTTTGATTCAAAATATTTTTAATTGTGGAATTTTATAGAGTAGGAAAAAACTCTAAAGACTGAAACAAAAAGTTTTCGGTCAAATTTTTTTTTTGTGTACTTACAACCTAATTAATTTATTTTAATTTAAAAAATGGAGCCTAATACTCCATTAATTCAAGCGAATTCACATAATATACAAGAAGGTAAAAAGCAAAGAATTAATTATAAATAATTTATTAAATTTAAAGCTTGAAATGTGTGTTTAGCAAAACATAACTTCAAAATTGACAATACTAATTTCAATTATCAATTTTTAAAAGCAATTAACTTAGTTTTTATTTAATATTATTCATAATGAATTTAATTAAAAATATTTAAGTGAATTCTATTACTTTCTATCTTTGTGCAGAATCATTAGATTGTGGTTTAAAGTCAATTGGATGGTGTGGCGGTTCAAAATGCCAAAATTTAGCAACATCACGAAATTTTATAATTGCTTTTGCAGTTGTTACAGCCCTTCAGGGTGCTGTTATGACATATTTTCGATTATCAGCACAACAAGCTGGTATGGATCTAGGATTTGATCCTTATATTATAGGTACGTAAGTAAAACTCAAGTACTATTTTTAATGCATATTTAAACAATATGTGCATGAATCAATATTTTTTAGGGAAAATACAATAATACGATTTAAATACTTTAATAAATTCTGAAGTAAATATTAGCTCTACTTTTGTTTTAGTATGCCATTTTTTCTCGTTTTTCTATATACAATTATTTTGATAAGAATTTTTTTTACTATCATTTTGATAAGAAAGTTAGTAAATCGAATTGAGTTAAATTTATCGTTGTGTGTATACACATAATATGTTAAGAAATTTATACAATACTCGTAAATATTGTCATACTACAATTATTTATTGTCATATTTTATTATTTAAATTATTAAGGTGTGCAGTAAATATGCTACAACACAATTTCATTTGAACGCACTTGTTAAAATTGTTAATTGTGTTGTTTCGCACAGACATGCCAATACAAAAATATTCTTCCTTTTTTTTTAAATTTTACTAAAGCTGTGTACTTACATAATATCTAACACACAGGGCCCAATAAATTTTTTATATTTTCAATTTTTAATGTATATCTGACTTTGTTTTTCACATGCATACATATACTTATAGAGCTGCCTTGTATATACGACGGATCCCCAATATAAAAAATTAAAATTTATTTATTCAATTTTCATAATCTATAGAAATCTTTTTATTATTATTGAGTCTCCAGAATAAGAGCTCAAACAAAACCTATTTTTGTTATGTTGGTACGTAAAGCATAAGAGTGGTATATCCTGCTACATTATAAAAGCAAATCTTCAATACAAATTTATTGAGGTTTTCCAAACAGTTTCTTAATTCGTAATAAAACTGCAAGCTTTTCACAAATTCTTATTTGAAAATTAAAGTTCTAACTATAATTGATGAAAATTCCAATTTGCATTTGGTTTACTTGCATACTTGTAGTACTGTTTAGTAGTAATATTATTAATTTTTAGTGTAATTATTATTAAGGATTATTCTAAAGAATAAATTTTTATTCGTAAGCTTGATTGTTTAATTGTTGATTTTTTCAAGGCTAAAATTAACATTTTGTTCAAAATTTTATGGAAATTGTAATTATCACAAAAGAAAAGGAAATTTTGTCCAAACTTTGCATTAAAAAAGAGCGATTATTCGGTCTTTGACTCATTATATTATTTGAATATCAAGCTAAAGGAAAGCTGCCTTGCAATTCGTTCACAATGTCAGTAAACGTCAGTAGTTTTTGTTACTGTTTGAAAATCACGAACAAAAGTACCCCTAGACAAGCAATATCCTTTGTGTTTGATATGAGATGTGAATGTTCTTTCAATCGCAAAATACAATGCGTAGTTATGAGTGAGAAATAAATAAAAACCCGTGTTATATTTTCAATGAAAAGCGAAAAATAATGTAAAAACGTATTGAGCATCCAACGACGATCACAATAGGAATATTTTTTTTCTCAGGCAACAATAAATTCATTTGCAATAACAGTAAACTGACAGGAATATTTTCAGACAATAAGTTTTTGTTTATGTTTCTAATACGTAAAAAGTTATAAATTTTATATTACAGATTGGTTATTAGTGAGTGTGGGGTTAACACAAGGTGTAATTGCATTTGGTTTAGTATTTTATTCACAAAGATTTCATCCGATGTCCTGGATTAGTGGATTTATATTGTTAGAAGCAGCTTTTGCAATTATTACCATTATACCAGCATTGCATTTTTTGTAAGTATTTTTTTATATTTGTACATTTGTAATTTTAAAAAAATATTGTTTATGAAGAATGAATTAGGATTTATAAAGTAACTAAATTTATTTTATTTTAGACCAAATCAAGGAGAACAGAGTCGCCCGGTGTACGCCCCACCATTATGTATACGTGATTCTTATAAATCTGAAATTGAAAAACCTCATGGTGTTGTTACACTTATTCTTCTATTCGTACTACATTCAGTTATTTCCATTACAAATGCAATAATTTATTGTATTGGATATTCCTACATCGATGATAATTCAAAACCAAAAAATGCAGCAATTTTGCTTGGCATTGGATTAGCAGCACATTTTTGGGGCGCACAATTAGGAGCTGCAGTTTCACTTCAAGTAGATGCATTACCATTAGGTTGGTGGTTAGGATGGGTAATAATAGTTCCATTATTAATTATTTCTGCCATTATTATTGGATTGTTTCCAAGAAAATTAGTTAGAACTATTGTAAGACAAGCAGCTGATTTAATAATACAAAGAATGTCACAACCAAACCTAATTGAATCAGTTGAATATGTTAAAGAATTTACATTCTTTCCGACATTAAAAAGGTTAATTACCAACAGAACTTTAATGTTCAATTTATTAGCTTTCACATTTTTGGAAACAGTATTAATAAATTTTTCACTGCAAGAAGAAGAATATATGCAATCGAGATTTTTTATTGCAACTAGCGAAGCTAATGGTCTTCTAGATGAATGGATGTCAAGATTTTTATTGATTATATTAAAACCTCCTATACTTGGATTTACAATTTTATTTGCTGCTTTTATTGTAGCTAAACTTCAACCTTCTGCAAAAAGTTTAGCAGCATGGAATGCAATAGTTGAAATTTTAGTTTGCTTATTTTTTGTTTCTTACATATTTTTACATTGTTCATCAGAAACACTAACACAGTCGTATAAGAATAATAAAGTAATGCAACCAGATTGTTCAACGGATTGTTATTGTGGCGATGATGTCCTGTTTATGCCAGTTTGTACAGAAAGAGAAAAGAAAACATATTTTTCACCTTGTCATGCTGGTTGCAATGCAAGCTATACCATCAACAATGTTGTGGTATTTAGAACTTTATTTTCATCGAGCATTAAAACAATTGATATTAATATAGTTTTTATTTTAGATGTACAAAAATTGCCTCTGTGGCTCAAATCACGAAAGCCCATTCCCAAATGGAGTAGTTACATCGGGAGCGTGCAATTTCCAGGATTGCCGGAATATATGGCTTATATATCAAGCTTTAGCATTAGTTGCGGCTATCCTTTTGGCATCATGTGAAGTAAATAGAATGCTAATAACATTCAGAAGTGTTTTGCCTCAAGATAAGGCACTTGCTTTGTCTATGGAAATAACAATTGCTGGTCTTTTTGTTAACATTCCTGGAAAATTAGCATATGATTATATTGCAAGTGAGTTATTTATTTATAAATTAAATTTTTAAATATTCGTCAAAACAAAATGAACTGTTTTTTTTAAATTTAATAAAATAAATTTTAGGTTCAACATGTGAATATTATTCTCAAAGTTTAAGAAAATGTGCATTACAACAATCCCCATTACATGGAAACATTTTAAATATTGTGTCCGCTATCCTTTTTGCGATATCTGCAGTTTTTGACATACTAAATGCTATTTTCATTAAAGATATAGATTGTTTTACAAAAACTAAAATAAATAAAAGTGATGGTATTATTCCAGTTCCACTGCAACCAATGAATTCAAGAGTTGATCAAACTGATGTAAACGAAAATTCAAATACAGGAAATGAAAACGAAATAAATCCAGGACAACGACAACCGCAAACACAATATAATTCATATTTAAGAAATTATCAGGATAGTTCTCCTGATTCAAGTTTATTTCAAAATTCACCGCGTCGTATTGGCGGTAGACGTTCAAGAAGTCCAGTTAGTTCACAAAGTTCTATAGTTAATCCAAATATTCAATATGAAGAAGTAGCTAATGAAAACGCAAGTTCACCCAAACGTTTATCACCACAAAATCAAAATGTAAATTACGCTCAAGTTATGTTTGAATTTAAAAAGAAGTCAAAATCAAAAGAAATAGATCCAGTATCAGAAGAACAAGAAGTTGTGCCAAAATCATTAAGTCCAGTATCAGAGCAAACAACAAGTAATATTGGTAGTGATTTAGATGAAAATTTAGATTTTAGGTTACAAAGAGATCAACCGATAACTAGACAAGATATGGATGCTGATGACGAGCTCTCTGAATTGGATACTAAACAAAAAAATGGAAAAGTAAAAGCTAAAGAAACTTCATTCTAAGACTTTATAAAAAAAATTATGATTTAGTTTATAGTTCACATTGTATATGACATTTTTAATTTTTTAGAAGAACAAAAAATTTCTTCGATTAATAAGTTCATTTTGGTTTTTGTAATTTTAGAAAATTTTATTAAATCTTAAAAAAAAAATTTGAATCTTATAAAATTCAGTTCATTTTATTATCATTTGTTCTGTCTTAATCACTTAATAGCCATTTACTCAAATAACAATTCTATTTAAAAAAATAGCGATATACTTTGAATAACAGCATTCAATTGATAACAAAGATGATCAAAATTGACGGAAATACAGACTGATATTGAGAGTAGAGTTTTCTTGAAATGAAAATAAATGGCAGGGTAAAATTTCCGTAGATTCTATAAAGCACTTTAAAGTTTTGATCAAACTATTATCTAGCTTTTATATGATCTCGCCAATAATTCGTTTCATTTTATTTTGCTTTTTGGAATTTTGGAGCCACACATATTTATTTTTATTGACTTTCCATTAATCTACTAATTTTGTTTTCGAAGTCTAACACAAAAGTTACAAAAAAATTAAATTTCAAATCCTAACTTCTGCTACCTATTAATAATTTTCATGTTTACTTGAAACATTTTTCGACACTTTAATTTCAACTCAAATATTTTTAGCAATAACTTTTTTTGTGGAAAATTTTTTCATTCATTAGTATTTATCGGATATAGAAAATAAATTACAACTTAATAGTCATAAAACTCTGCTTTTGTATACAAGTATCTAATTTAAGCGTTTTGGGAATATGTTTTTCCATATTTTTAGCACTTTTCCAAAAAATTTTTTGAAAAAAGTGCTTATTAGTTTCACTCTGTCCGTCCGTCCGTCCGTCCATCCGTCTGTCCGTGTGTCTGTTTACAAAACTTCTACACCTTTGAAGATAGAAAGCTGAAATTTAATACGTACATAGATCTTCACTAGAAACTTATTTCCGTAGAACAAAATTTTTACCTATTTCCCCCCCTCTAGAAGTTATACCCCCCCAAAACCCTAAAAATGGTCTTTTTTAAATATTTGTTGCAATGAAACCATAAGCATTTTTGAAATTTTGCAAACGCAGAAAGGCAGTGGCTTGCTTCCCCTTGCGCGGTATACTATAGTTCAACTTAAGAAAAACAAAATGGCCGCTCAAATTTACCGTTATTTAAAGTCCTTTTTTTCCAAATTTTTGATTTCGTTTTTCTTCTAGACCCCAGACTGTAGAAGCTTGAAATTTTAGGAGATTTTAGATATTAATAAATAGTTTATTTTGTTAGAAGAAAATTTTTTTCCATCTCCACCCCCTCTCAAGTTATCACCTCTTGAAATTCGTAAAATTTGAATTTTTGACACCTTATATTTCCGAAACCGCAAGCTCTTCCAAATTTTTATAAACGCAAAAAGCTAACGGTAAATTCCGTGAAATTAAAAAATATAATTATTTTTCTTAACTCACACAATTAACCCTTAAAATCGAGCATTGTGTTTATCCCTTTTTATATTAATTTTTGCTTTATTTCAAAGACTGCATAAATCGTTGATCCTAAATATATGCAATCCTAGAAATAGTTTCGTATATGAATGAAAATAATTTTAATAGTGTGATAGGTATACATAGACTGTATTTAAAAGCAGAATTTTCACTTGTTGAAGGGAAAAGTGCTACAATACAAACCATTGGTTTGACCCAACTTTATTATTATTGCAAGTGCAATGACATTAATTGTGTCAGCGATAAAATTTTATTTGATTTATGAGATAGTTAAATTGCTAATAAATTCCTTCTTTTCTTTTTGTTATTTTCCCCTTTAATAAATTATTTTGAATCAATGAAAAATTCTTGACCTACACAATTTTGTTTGATAAATGTAAATGTTCGCAATAATGACGATTCAAAAATAAATTTTAAAACTGGAAAAATATGTCATTGCTATCAATCAATGAACTATTCAAATTAATACCAGAATACACGTGGCTGCATTTGTAAACTATTCAAATAATAAGCGTGATTCTATGCTTTGATCATAAATTTCCCTAATCGAATGTTGTTATTAATAATTATGAGATTCTATCAAGTGTTTCATTTGTGTTACAGTAAATAAATTCAGATGAAATTCTAAATATGTACATATGAACAAATTCTAAATATGTACAAATTCTAAATATGTACATATGTAAATATTTGAACTAGCAAAGGAAAGGTACAGCTGTACAAAAATTAAGAAAGTTTTCATCTCATTATTTCTTATTTACATTAGCTGAAGTTACTGCAGGAGAATATTTTAGCACAGAAAATACAAAAAACCTGTTATAAGAAAATATTAGCTTTAAAATCTTTTATTTAAATGTGTTAAAAACAATTCCAAAAAATTTTGAAAATAACGGCTTATAAAGGTGCCATAGACATGTTTACAAAACAGTCTTGAAGATAGAAAGCGGAAATATACATATATCTTTGCCAGAAACTCATTTCTGTAAATGTTTTCACCTATCTCGCTCTCTAAAAGCTATAGCCCCTCAAAGTCCTTAGAATGCCATTTTTTAAGCAATTATTGTAGATGAACCAGAAACATTTTTTACGTTCTGTAAACGTACAAGAGTAATGCCTGGCTTCAACTTTCCAAAAACAAAATGGCTATTAAAATTGACCGTTATCTCAAATCCGTTTTTTACAAATTTTTAATGTCGTTTTTCTTCTAGACTTCAGGTTGTGGGAGTGTGAAATTTCACTAGCTCTTAGATATTCATAAATAGTTCATTTCGTTAGAAGAAAATTTTTTCCATCTCCACCCCCTCTCAAGCTATCATCTCGCGAAGTAAAATCTGAAGTTTTGGAACCTAATATGCCCGAAACTGCAAATTTTATCAACTTTCTATATAAATGCAGAAAGCTAACGGTAAATGACCTGCCACTAAAAAATATAGTTATTTTCCCTGACTCCCTTAAAATGGAGCATTATGTTAACGCTTCTTTAAATTTTTTTTGCTTTTTTTAAAGTTTTCATGCATTGCTAATCCTAAATGCATGCAATTTTTGAAACATATTCGTGTATGAATTAAAATAATTTTAATAACGCAGTACATAGCTAGACTGTTTTTAAAAGCACTATTTTCACTTGCTGAAAGTATTTTAACTTTTTGTATTACAATAGAAAAAAAGCTTTTACCTGCTATTATTTTGCCTAGACCCTAGACTATTGACTATTTCATGCTATACTTTTTTCCATATCATTTGCAAATCTGCATAGTTTATTAATTTGTGAATTTAGCTAGAAAAAAAACACATTTTAGGCTTTCGCACTGGACATTATCTGGCTGTAAAATGATTTTGCAGATGCAATAGTTAATTGCATTAGGATAATCGAAAATCGAGAGTGAACTAAATAAAGTAATGAATAGTTAAATTTAGTAGTAAGACTTAAAACGATTAAAAAAACTAAAAGCCATTTTCACACTAAGTTGAAAAGTGAGAAGCACGTAGTACCTTATAGAGAAATTTACAGTGCCTTAAACATAATTTACGCAAATGTTAGATACATTTTTAATTTTAAAATATTTTTACACGTATTACTCGTACACATTCAGCAACAATAAAGTAGAGTATATTTTGGCTAATTGCAAAATTTTATCCTCAACTTAAAGGGTTTTCTGTCTTTCTGCTATTGAGTAAATTTTCGGAAAAAGAAAAGCAATTATGAATTTTCTAATATGTCATACTTATATTTAAAATTACGTATACGTACAATAACAAATTGGCACTTCGTGTTAGGAATCGTAGCTAAAATACTTTTCAACTTTCAGAAAAAAAATAAAGCAATATTTTTAACTACTCGTATGAAAGCTTAGAGTGGTTAAAGTACATTGATTCTTTGTATTGGCAACAGTTTAATAAAATAATTGTCAGAATTATTGCACTTTTGTTTAAGCCAGCTGTATTTATATTACAAATGGATGAACAAATTAAATATGATATACACATTTTATTATGTCATACACCTACTTACATTCATTAAACAAATCAATATAATACGGTTATGAACACCGCAGTAACCACATTCAATAGTTTGATATAAAAAGTGCCTACTATTTTGCAATTTCTATAAAAAGTAATAATATTGATAACAATGAATAAGTGGGCAAAAGTTTTACATGTACACATAAATTTATATAAGGGGATATATAGCAATAAACATAACATACATATAGATTTTCATTTATATATAAAAATTGTAACATAAAGCTGTAAAGCTATTTAAGATATGAAAATAAAGAAAAAAAAACAATATTCAATATTTACAAAAAATGAGAAAAAATAGTGTTAAGCATATCCACTCTGTGATACACTGATACCCGAAAATAAGAAAATTAATTTTTAAGTTATATAGTAGCTATTCTATAGGAACTTATACAAAGACAAACCAATCGTGACATTTATTCGAATGTAATTGCGAAAGCATTTTACATAAAGCTGTAAAGCTATTTAAGATATGAAAATAAAGAAAAAAAAACAATATTCAATATTTACAAAAAATGAGAAAAAATAGTGTTAAGCATATCCACTCTGTGATACACTGATACCCGAAAATAAGAAAATTAATTTTTAAGTTATATAGTAGCTATTCTATAGGAACTTATACAAAGACAAACCAATCGTGACATTTATTCGAATGTAATTGCACGGTAGCTGTTTAAATCACTCATTCTGTCGCGATCAAATTAAATAGTGCTTGTTTAAGAACTGCAATAATCAATTTGCAGAACACAAACAACTCAGTCAATATTCAATCATCTGTTTCTTATAAATGGAATGGTTACGAGTATTAAATAATATCTTTCTAACTGGTATTAAAAAAATACAAAGTAAGTTACTTAAAACTTACAAATGAGCTATTCACAATTTATCATATAGTTTTTGTTCTGTAGTTCCGTATTGTAAACTGGTGTTTAATTAATCAATAAAAATAATTGTGAATTATTGTGTCTCATTTTATATTCAAATATATGCAAAAATTATATTTTTAAAACCTGGTAATTATTGTAATCATTCTTCTATTTATAATTGCTAATTTTACGAAATATGTATGTTATTGATTATAGTGTTACTTATAATTTAATTATAGGCACATAAATGATAACTAAAAATTAATTTTGTAAATGAAGTTGTACCTGTATATAACGTATAACATTGTAAAATTTCATAAAAACGTGTGACTATAATTCAAATTACATTAATATTGAGTTTGTGTGAATAAATTTCACAATATTTACAATTCTATTTAAGAATTCTATTAAGAAACTATTTTAATTTAGATTTTGTCTTTGTGAAGGTATTTACTAATCGAGTAATTATGACAAGTAATAAAATTAAGGCATTATTAAAAGAAAAAGAAAAATTTTATGGCGCTAAATGTACATACATATATCTACATATATCTATTAATAAGGGCGTATTTTTAAAAATTGTGAAAAATAGCTTTTAAAATATTTTTTTGGGGGTGTAAAAATTAGATAATAACTATATTATAAGTACACGCTAGCTATACTTAGTGGAGTGACCATTTATCTTTTGTAAAAAAGATACAGAATAAAAAATTTTCAATACAGTTTGGTAAAAATGAAGCAGAATTCATATTGGAATTCACGTTTTTCATTTTATAAATTCTTTTTTATTGGTAAACTAAAATAGTCGCTGTTATGCAATAAAATTTTGGAGTACAAATTAGTAAACAAATTCAAAGAATAATCTGTAATTATTTTAAAGAGAGATAATGTTAAAATTATTATCTAACATCTCAGTTTAATAACCTTTATATTTTGTTGTTGTTCGTTTTAGCAGGGACAGAATTTTATTTCTACATGATTACAAAAAATATATTTAATGAAAAACAAAACGAATATGTAATTATTCTTATCATAGTGTAAACAGTAATTGAAGAGAAGAGAGTATTATAACTTCTCGCAACACTATAACGTATAAATAATATGAGAAAATTCTCTCATTAGAAATACCAAATATTTAAATTTTGAACGTGATTGGAAATTGGAATATGTGACTTGTGAATTTTTTTTTTTTGTATACAGGGTGAGTCAGAAAGCTATACAACAACATATACCATTGGTTAGAAGAGCGAAAATGGGTAAAACTTTTGTTCCAGACTGGATGCCAGATCTTAAGGGTTTCCGAGTTCCAGGGATTTTAACGAAATTTAACGAAATTTTCACTTGTCCAAGTTTTTTGGATTATAACTTCCATTCTGAAAAAGATAGAAAGTTCAAACAAAGAGTTTCTGAAAGACGTAGTAAAGGACTTAAAATAAACATGTTGCTTGATTCTGTATTTTATGTACCTTCGGAATACCAAGCTTTCGAACTTTAGGGAGAATTAAATTTTACCCTTGTTTTATTTTTTCAGTTTTTTCTAACTGGATAATTTCGTAAGAAATTTTTTAAAACCTTGAAATTTTTTTTTATAGAATTTTGTCTAGCTGCTTAAGCTTTAATTTAAGTGCTCCAGCATTAAAATTTTTTTTATGTTACAGAAGATGTAGCACAAGAATCATTTCTAAGTGAAGATTTTAAAGGCCTTATTTTTCACTATTTTTGATTTTTATTGATTTTAAGCGCTCTAATTATTATTTGTCATTAATTTTTGATGAAAAGGGTCACTCAAAACAACATTTGACATTTTTAAGAGCCGTTATTTTGATAAAAAATCTGAATTTTATTGTTTTTATTGAAATGTAGCAAAACAATAATCAAATTGTAGCGAAATTTTATACAAAATTTTTAATTGAAAAACAAAAATTGAATTTAAAAAATTTATGATTTTTGAAAAGAAAAACTAGAATTTTGTATTACAAAAAAAATCTAGTAATCAAAAAATTTTTTTTCGAAACTTTTCTTGGTAAAAAAATTTATAGGTTTTTAATTTTTGCCAATTTTTATAAGAAATGATACCTATATGGTTTAAAATTTTTAAATGCATTTTTCTCAAATTGGGTGCAATTTAAAAATTTGAAAAAATATTTTTCGGAAACTAGACACCATTTGGCATTTGAAGTTATTAAATTTATCTAGCTGGAACAAATTTTTAAAGACATGCCATATAAATTTTGATAACTCATTTATTTTAATAGAAAAAAAATTTTTTTAAAAGGAAAATTTAATTTTTTATAACAAAATGGAGTATGTAAATGATTTGATAAGGAACTAGTATTTTCCGAACTTTTTGATAAAGGAATATTAAATTGAATTAAAATTTAGTTGTATTAACATCCGATTTGATTTCAATTGAATTTGTTGCCCGCAATATTTGTAGTTTTTGTATTATATCTTCTGTACCATAAAAATTTTTTTAATATTTGAGGGCTTAAATTAAAGTTTAAGCAGCTGGCAAAAATTCTATAAAAAAATTTTCTTACCAAAATGTTTGAAAAATTTTCTTACGAAATTATTCAGTTAGAAAAAACTGAAAAATATAAAACAGGAGAAAAATTTAATTTTGCTTAAAGTTCGAATGCTTAGTATCCCGAAGGAATACAGAATCAAGCAGCATATCTATTTTAAGCCCTTAGGTCTTTTAGAAACTATTTTTTGAACTTTCTATCTTTTTCAGAATGGAAGTTATAATCCAAAAAACTTAGATAAGTAAAAATTTCGTTAAATTTCGTTTAAACCCCTGGAACTCGGAAACCCTTGATACCTGGCATCCAGTTCGGAACAAAAGTTTTACCCATTTTCGATCTTCTAACCAAATGGTATAGCTCTCTGAATCACCCTGTTTATATATGGAAATCTTTTTCTTATATAGGATTTTATTTACTTATACCCATGAAATTTTTTGAAATAGGGTGGTCTATATGTAAAGCAAAAATAATTTAAAATTTTATTAATTATTATTAATTACAAGCACTGACTTCGAAAATATCTGTTTGTATCATTGTACGATAAACCAGTGTCATTCGTGTAAACACAATTCCACATTCTATATTTATTAAACGTGACACTTTATTGTAGTAAATGTAGACATATGCATGTATTCGTATAATATCTAATAATATATTATTATTATACATACATTTTTAATGACAAATATACAGGAATCCCCTTTATAAATGATAAATGTACTAAGTAATTGAAATTATAAACAAAGTGACAGCGAACACGATTTTAAATCACTTTTAAGACCAAAAGCTTAAAGAAAACTTTTTTCATTCTTCAATTAACTTGTAAAACAAGATTTCAAATTAAGCTTTTAGTTTCTCGATTAATCTTCATGTGTAAAGTCAATACTATTTGTTGAAAGCGGTTAATTGTACATTATTTATAGAAGTTCAGCTTACAACAAGTAATTGTTGCTGGTTTTCATGAATTTATAAGAAAGCTTTCATTTGAATTGAAAATACATAAGAAAGAAATTTAAGTTGATGCAAATTTTATGCATTTATTTCTTAACGCATAAAAATCCAGGCAAAAAAAAAGCTTGAATATAAAGCTGAGATCACTTGGTGGTCATTATGAGTGTTACGATTAGTAAATATGTCAATCTGATCGTTTATTTTACTTTGATATGTTTTTGTATTAAACGTAAGTATGTGTGTGTAATTTTGATATGATGTACAATAATAATAATGTACTTACATAGTTTAGGGTCACTTTTTGTTAGATAATGAATAACAAAAACAGAATGTTGTATTGAATAAATGAATGGTTTAGTATTTCGTTAAATAAAGACTAAAAGACCAGCAGAATAGAAAATACTAAACCGAAAATACTAAAGCAATTCGAAAACATGTAAACTAAAATATTTTCATATTTAGGATTCAAACATTATTTTTGAAAACTTTTATTTTATTTATAATAACATTTAATTACTAAAAATTATTTTTCATTTTTGATTTTAGTTAATGCAGGTCTGACATGTGATAGCTCAAAAATTTGTGTCCCAATATCAAATTGTTTATCAATAAATGAAAGATTATATGATGAAAATCTAACTGATTCTGAAATTAAAGAAATATCAAAATTGCAGTGTGCATACATAGATGAAACTATTTATGTTAGTTACCAATATAACTTCGGAAAATAGTCAGAAAAAAAAGTCTATCCTAAATATTTAATTAAAAATTATATTAAAAAAATTAATAATAAATAAAATCAAAATATATTTTTCAAAAAAAAAAAAGGTATGCTGCAATTCTTCATTACCAAAACCACCTGTTTGTGGACCATTTTCAGTATCAACAAGAATTGTTGGAGGAAATATAACTCATATTTATGATTATCCATGGACAGCATTAATTGGGACATTAATTTATGTAAACAATGAAGAAGGTAAACTTTCTGTATTTTATTATTTTAGTCAACATCCTACACAGTCAAGTAAAAAAGAGTATATGAGAAATTATAACAGTTTTAAATTTATTCACATTTATTTATCAGTTTCAATTATATACCTATAAGTATAAAGCATGCATGCAATTTAGAAACAATGGTTTTCAACTATATGAAAAATGTCTCATTTTAATGTAATTCCATTTTTTAAAGCATTCATCCTATACTTATGCAATATATTTAATATATAATAATAATAAATATCTATCTATTTTTTAGTTATCAAATATAATTGTGGTGGTTCCCTAATAAATGATCAATATATTTTAACTGCTGCTCATTGTATAAAAGTTATGAGTAAAAAGAATATAGGAGAAGTTGCTAATAGACGTATAAGAAAAGTTCGTTTAGGTGAATGGGATTTGAAACAAGAGCCAATTGATATAGAAGTATTAGATTTGGATTCAAATAGAACTATTATTGGTGAACCAGTCGTTGATTTAAATATTGAAAAATGTATTGTACATGAAAAATATCATCCATCATCAAAACTATATGATATTGCATTAATTAAACTTTCTGAAAAAGTGAATTATACAAATTTCATAAAACCAATATGTTTACCGGATGAAGAACAAGAAATTGAAGAAGATCTTATTGTTATTGGATGGGGTAAAACAGAAAATGAAACACGTAGTAATATTAAAAGATTTGCACAAATTTCAACATGGAATTTAACAACTTGCATTGAAAAATATCAAAAGGAGTATATAAAAATTGATTCAACACTAATATGTGCTGGTGGTACAGGCGGTTTTGATTCTTGTCAAGGCGATTCTGGTGGTCCATTAGTAGGCTATAATACATCAAATCCATTTAGAATATATCATTATTTAGCTGGAATAACTTCGTTTGGTTTTAAAGATTGCGGTCAAGGTACACTACCAGGTGTTTATACAAATGTAAAATCTTATCTTAAATGGATAAATGAACATATAGAACACATTGGTTAATATTGTTCAGTTTTCTTAATTTAATTTGTTTTTTTCTGAAACTGTATATGTAGCTCTAAATATGTTATAATGCTTTATATACTACATATTTTTAAATTTTTTGATTTAATAAATAAAAAAAATGCTAGGCACTTCTTTTTTTTAAATTTTATGTTTATTTAAATTTTATTTAAAAATCTAATATCATATTAAATCTGTGAATGTTAATTTATCAAATGTCAAGTAAATATTAAAAAACAATATTTCTGCTTAACCAAGCATGAATCATTCGTAATAGACCATAATATATGGTATACACCTATATGGGTTTCTTCTATATACCTACATGAACCCACATTGTTCAATTCAGTTATTTACATATTATACATAACGTTGTATACATAAATAATGTTTTTTTTATATTATATGAACACAGCTACATATAAATAAAAATTGTTAATATGTAGTGGAAAAGGATTTCACTTTGGGGCATGTATAGATGTACATATATTTGTAGTTTCCTTTTAGAAAAAATTGATTTCTTTTTTAAACAAATTGCGAAAAAATATTTAAAAATTAAGTTTAAATATTTAAATTCTGACTTTATCTCTGACACAAATAAGCGTATTATGATTTCAAATAATAATAATTATCAGGATAATATAATAAATGCGATTCTTTTACAACAATTGAGCACCACAGTGAAAAATTTAATATTTTTCCTTAACTTTTTAAATTTAAAGGTATGCTAGATGCACATAATTATTAGAATTAATTTGTAAAATAATTTAATTTCTAATACAATGATTGAAGCTTATTCAAAATATTTTAATATCAAAAATAATTAATAGTTTTTAAACTTTATTTCTTTGTACATCTAAAGGGTTACTAATGTGCAGGATTAATATTATTACGCTTATACTTTATTATTATTTTTCAAAAAACTTCTAAGAAAGTATATTGTGTAAGTGATTATATCCAGGAATAATATTAGATACAAGAAGAAATCGATTTGGAAATTCTAAAATGTAATTATATACTGCATATTTATTACGTCTTTTATAGTTTTGATTAAAATAATGGACTCACTTGGAAAGGTTTTTGAAAAAATTGAAGGATAACTTTGAAAAATTTCTCTCACTATTAGTCCAGAACTTTCATAGTCAATATAATTTATTGAATATATTTAATTATTTTGGAAATGTTCAAAAAAGAGCTACGTTCATTGGAAATTTACACATTACCATTTTTAATTCAATTACTTTAATTTCCACTTTTAATTCAGAATTTTCTTAAATTTTGCAAGTCGCGATTGATTTGTTCTACCAATTCTTATTAATCTTCTACTCTTAATATAACATAGAACGATCAACCTATATAATATTTATTTAATTACTTATTTATCTTTAATTAAATTTTAAATATTAATATTTGGTAGATACTACAAATTATCACATTATTTAATGAGATAAATTGGACAAGTATATAATTAAGAATCCTCTATTATTTGAATTTAATTACTAAAAAAAGAGAAAAATTTTGTATCAGAAAAATAGAAAGCTCATCTTTTCTCATGAATATTTCGAATCATAATTTTAAATAAGATTTGCATAACTAGACTCTTATGTATTTTCTATCTATAAAAATTATATAGTAGTTCTGTCTTAATTAGTGTACGATTTATATAGTAAATCATTTAATTATACGTTCAATGTGAAAAGCTTCCATCACATTTAAATACATAACAAATTTCAAAACAAAAATTCATTCATTCTGCAAAACATCTCATTCTGAAAGTGAATTTTTCTCAGAATTTCTTTATCTAATTCTAATTAGCTTGAAACAGTTTTATTGTTACATCAACTGTCGAATTTGTTTTTTACACCAATGAGCACTTTTCAAAAAAAAACAAAATTGGTAAAAAATACCTAAAAATTTCACTCTGCCCGTCCGTGTATCTACGAATTTATAAAAATTCTGCACCTTTTAAGATTTAAAGTTGAAATTTCAAACATAAATTAGTCTTTACTGAAAACTTATTTTCTTTCGAGAAAATTTTTTATTTTTCTCCTCCCTTCTGAAAATTTATTGCCCCTAAAAAAAGTTCATAATGACATTTTTGACTATTTATTTTATGGTTATTAAAATATTCAATTCGTAAATTTTGCAAGTCGCAACTGAGTTGTTCTACTAATTCTTATTAATCTAAAACCTGTTTATTTTTAAATATTTAATATCGTTTCTCTTCTCAATGGTCAATAATAATAGAAGTCTGAAGCTTAAACTAAATGTAAACGTCATGCCATCCACAAAAAAAAAAATATTTATTTATGTTAACTCGCTTACTTAGTTATCGAATTGGACCATTATGCAAACGCTTCTTTCATTTTTTCACCTCATCCCAAATGTATGCAATATTTTGAAATATTTTGTTTTATGAATAAATGTAAATGTTAAAATGTTGATCTGAATTTATTATGAGAGCAATTATCAAATAAGATTATTTTATGAAACAATGTGTACATAATGTATTTCAATAATAATTATGTGTATATGTACTTTTGTTTGCTTTATTTCGATTAAATGCATTAACTGCATTTACTTATTTTTAATTTGATTAAAAATCCAGAGTATCAATTGAATTATAAAATAAGCATAAAATTTTTAATAAAATATTGGTGTTTAATTTTAAGTGAGTTTAAAAATTTTTAGATACATAATATGTGCGTATATTCATATAAAAATTAAATAGATCACAGGAATACAATAAAATGCAATACCAAATTGCAATATGCAGATGAGGAAGTTTTAATTATTTTATCTCTTTTATTTTTGTAAATTAACGATAAACTTGGGACTGTTAAAAGATATATCAATATTTTTACGCCCCTATAGATGACAGCGTAATAATAAATATTTTTTAAATATTTTTAGTACACCTAATTGTAATATTCACCTAATTGTATAATAAGTATATTCACACTATTAATATCAATGAACATCAAATGCTCTACTAATATCACGCAAAAGTTTAATCACGTATAAGAAAAAATTGAGAAAAATTACATTTTAAAGCATGAAACCTGAAGAATTGCATGAAACCTTTCAAATTGTCTCCCTGAAAATTACAAATTTCACGTTTCAGAAGAAAAACACTGGAAAAAAATATTATTGCCACAAAATTTGTAAGTATAATAAAATTAAACAGAAATTTAGAATACTCAATCGCATAAATTCAAAGTATTATCAAAATAAATTGTATTGTTTCTAAAGTTTATAGAGCAAGATTTTCGAATTCAAATAAAAAAAACAAAATCTTGATAAATTCATTTTTTTTTGTTTCCTTCTTTAAATATTGGAAAATCCAGTAAATAAATTTTTATTTCCTCTCAGTCTAATATTTAATTCATCTCGTACACAACAAGAACACGGAACAAAATTTATTTTAGTAGCTGCATATTAATTTTAAATTTAAAAAATGATCTTTTATTGTTTAATAGCTTTTGTATTCGTCTTAAATGGTGTAAAATGTAAATTAAAGTTCTTTTAAATTTTTTATAAGCATTTTAATTAACTTCTGCATCGCATTTACTTTGTTTCAGCGGAAGTTTGTTTACAAGATCAAATTTGTGTTCCAATAGATCATTGCTCATCAATTGATAAAAAATTATATGAGCCTAATTTAAGTGAATTGGAGAAAGATGAGTTGAAAAAACTTCAATGTGGATTTCTGGATCATAATGTTTATGTAAGTATTTAAATTCTTGTAAAAAGAAATTAATTCAATGAATAAATCAAAATATAGTTCATGACCTTGCTGTATAATATTTCATAACCTAAGTAATGCTTGAAGATGGATGAAAGAATTTTTTTTAATACTCTACATTCAACAAAAGATTTTTCAACAATAATACTAAACACTGGCCCACAATATCATTATTTTCTTTTTGCTTTTTTTAAGGTTTGTTGTAATTCATCACTACCAAAACCGGGAGACTGTGGAAAAGTAGGTTTAGAAGAAAAAATTACTAAAGGTCAAAGAACATATTTGGGACAATTTCCGTGGGCAGTTTTACTTGGTAGAAGATGGAAAGAAGCGAATGGTAATATTCAATCATTAAACTTATAATATATTTGTGGTTGCAAAAAAAAATTAACTTCGAATACCAAGAGAAACTAAAAACAGGATTAATGATAAATGAAATATATTGTGATCAATATTCAAAAAATATTCTTTGAATTGAGACCACAGATTTTATACACATAAAATTTTAACTATTTTTGAAAAAATTAATATTTTTGTAGGTACAACTGGAATTTCATATGAATGTGGTGGCTCAATAATCAGTGATCATTATATATTAACTGCAGCACATTGTGTAAAATTCTTAAGTTTTAAAAATTATAAAGAACGAATAAAAACAATTGAAATAATTAAATTGGGTGAATGGAATACTGAAACAGATCCAGATGAAGATGACGGTACAATAGGAGATCCTGTTATTAAAGCTGAAGTTGAAAAAATTATTCCTTACAAAGAATATAGATTATATAAGAAGTATAATGATATCGCTTTAATAAGATTGAAAGAAAAAATAAATTTTACAAAATTTGTTAAACCAATTTGTTTACCACATAAGGATGAGGTATATGATGAAGAACTAATTGTTATTGGTTGGGGTAAAATTAATGGAAGTCGAGAATTTGATATGGAAAAAATTCAAAGATATGCTAAAGTTGATTTAATTGACAATAAATTATGTGATGAAATTTATAACAATTTTGAAATAGAATCAACACAATTATGTGCTGGAACAAAAGGGAGTGATTCATGTGGTGGAGATTCTGGTGGCCCATTAGTTGGTATTAACACAACAAATCCAATATTTTATTATTATCTAGCTGGTATTGTGTCGTTTGGTAGAAGTGCTTGCGGAACACTAGGGGAACCTGGTGTATATACCGATGTTAGAAAATATATTGATTGGATTCAACAAAATGTTATTCATTGAGGAAATAAAAAAAAATATTATATTTGTATTAAATTTTTGTTTTTTTTTTTTTTTTAAATTGTTAATGCTCAATATCATTATAACATGTATTTTGACGATTTCATTTTTAAAAACTTAATATTTTATGTCGAATTCGTAACCTACACGTTTCTACATTTTTGTGTTAAATAGTCTGATGTCAGTCTACAGAAGCACGAAATAGTAGGGCAATCTATTGTTTTTAAGTTTTGATAAACTATGCAACGAACTGACTTAAGTACAAAACTTTCCATATGGTAAGTTTCCAATCTCATTCATATTCGAGACGATTAAAAATCTCTTAAATCTTTTGGTCATACCTACCTTATAACTGATATACTGCTTTAGAATTCTAAATAATTTCACATATAATAGCCCGTATCAGAAGCGCAAATTTTGGTTATCTCTCAAGATGCAGTAATATGGTATTAGCAAATACGTAATCGACTATAGCATATAACTTAGAATAAAGGAATAATAGTTATAAATTTGGCCGAGTACTTTCCAACAATTATGGGAATATTACATTATGAAAACTTACAATTTTAGCTCAGAATGGCTTCTGGAAAAGGTTCGAAAAATCTTTGGCTAATACCTTTTTAAAAAAAATTTTTTCTTTTAGTGTAGGACCGCATACTTTCATATTTATGTATTATATGGATAGATTATTTCAAATTATACACCTGAAATAAAATCTTTTTTAATAGAAGTTTTTATTAAACAAATCATGTTTTCTCTAATGAATAATATTTTGTTGAATCCAATCAATGTACTTTCTTACATCAGTATATACACCTGGTTCTCCTAGTGTACCACAATGTTTTCCAAATGAGACAATACCAGTTATAAAATAATAAAATGGAAAATGATTTGTTTGTAAACCAATCAGTGGACCACCAGAATCACCTTTACATGAATCACTAAAAGCTGATGCAGCACACATTTGGGTTGATTTCAAATTGTACCTCAAATATTTCTTGCGACATTCATTATTGTCAACTACGTCCAAACTAGCATGCTGTTGTATTTTTTCCAGTATATCTTCACTATTTTCATTGTTTTTAATTTTTTTTCCACTTTCACCCCAACCAACGATTACCAATTTTCCATCGAGAACTTCTTCTTTATGTGGTAAACATATCGGTTTAATAAATTCTGTATAATTAATTTTCATTTTTAATTTTATCAATGCAATGTCATCATATCTTTTATTCCATCTATGCTCTTTGTGCGGAATAATTTTTTCAACTTCAGCTTTAATAACAGGATCACCAATAACATCTCTGTCTATATCTGGATCTGTTTCAATGTTCCATTCACCAATTTTCACAATTTCAATTGCTGTTAGATATTCTTTAAAATTTTTAAAACTGAAGAATTTTACGCAGTGTGCTGCTGTTAGTATATAACGATCATTTATAATCGAACCAGCACATTCATATGAAATTCCTGTTTTATCTAAAAAGAAATAAAAAAAATTTAAGGATTATGAAAACAAAATGAAGGAAGCACAGGTCCATTACTGTCTTTTTCCCTCCATCTTCTACCAAGTAAAACTACCCAAGGGAATTGTCCTAAATATGTGTCATGACCATTTATTATTTTGGTACTGATAGAAATACGCCCACATTCTCCAGGTTTCGGAAGTGACGAATTACAGCAAACCTTGAATAAATTATTAAAAATAATATTCAATACTTCTGCTTGACGAATACAAAAAATTTTATGAATAATTGATAGGAAATTATTGGTATCATGTCCATATATCTAAATTTTGGTGCAATCCTACAAAAAACTTTCATTTTTCCATTTAGATAATTAAAAATTTGAAATTCCAATATTAAACTTACATATATAGTTTTTTTAAAGTCACATTCCAAATTTCGTAAATAATTAATCTCCGATTCGTTCAAATCTCGTTTATAAAGGGTGTTGTTAACCGATGAACAATGTTCAACTGGAACGCATATTTGATTTTCTGGGCATATTTTCGCTGAAATATGGACCAAATTGATTTTAATTTTATTTTATTTTTACCTTAAATAGTTTTCATACATAAAACAAATATTCCAAATTTAAACAACACTAGTTGAAAAAGTATATAGGCTTTCATATCTTAACGTGAAGTTGTGTGACAATGTAAAACCTTTAGTTTCTTGTTTTTAAACTTTCGTTGCGTTTTATTTTACCAAATATGCACTGAAGTTTTAAAAATACTGAACCAGATAAAAATTATTCTTTTGATGTGCATGTTAGCGAAATTAAAATCGGTATTCTATAACAGTACAACCAGGGCTGTCGTCTGATTTTTTGGGTGGAGAGCAGAAATATTCAAAAAAGGGAGCAATTTTCAAAAAAACGGAGCCAATTCCTATATTTCATAAAAAAAGATTAATTATTGTACGATTACAAAAAAATCGGAAGAACTTTGAACAAAACTTATAAGCAAATTAAAAAATTTCACAATAAAAACGTAAACTTAAAATAATATTTTTTACGGGAAACTTCATTTTACATTTTTATTACATTTTTTAAGGTTTAGGCTCTACTTATGATGGTCAGAAAATACCTTGAAATATTAAGAAAAACCTCATACAAAATGTTTCTGACGGTTTTTTCTGATCATATGTGTAGTGCCTTACTCATTTCCGTATATGAAGATTAAAATGATGTTGAAAAAGCGTAAACATGTGTACTTCAAATTTTCTTACTTAAAGTTTAAATAAGATCACAACTTCTTTTGAGTTTAAATTGTTACTTACCATTTCAACATAAAAGGAATTTCTCAAATTAGTTTTTTTCAAATTAACAGAAAAAATAATAAAGAAGAAGCTTTGTATAAATTTTTCAAGTTTTCAACAATATACTTGATCGACTTCAATTAAAATATCAAAATTGCAATATCATCATCTATTGAAAAAATTCTATACAAACATATTTCATCTGCTCACGTCGACGAATTTTCCTAAGTTTGGTTATTTGAAACTTTAGCTGACTAATTAATTAACTTGATTACAAAAAAAGTAGATGGCGGCTTTTTAATTAGCAGAAAACGGTATATATAGATACATAATTTCGTTAGCCAAGGTTTTGTCAAAAAATTTTTAAATGTTGTAAAAAAAGTTTTTTTACAACATAAAACAAATATTCCAAATTTAAACAACACTAGTTGAAAAAGTATATAGGCTTTCATATCTTAACGTGAAGTTGTGTGACAATGTAAAACCTTTAGTTTCTTGTTTTTAAACTCAGTTAGTTTTATATATGTTACTAGACTTTATAGAAAGATATGGAAGGTATAAGATAATGATTAAGCAATAAAATTAAAAATGAATACACGAATATTAACAATATATATTCAGCACTCACTATAATTAATTTAATATTATTTAACCTTAGAATTTCTGTTCAACGTTTATGTAATAAAAAGTGCAACCAAATTACATTAATTTTCACAAAAATGGTGAAATGTGGGTTTTCCATAAATTCACAAATTTCACTGAACTTTAGAATACGGGAATATAGAGCAAAGTAATTTCATGAGCTTTAAATTGAGTTCACACATTACGTTCCCGAGTCAAGATGAAAACTAAATGACAGCGATTTTTCGCGGCGAAATGTCAAAATTCATATTAATATTTTTAAGGTACCACTTTTTCAGTATTTCCGACAGAGATTTGCATATTTGTGCAAGATATTTTTAATAATACATTCAATATTTACTATTTTAAAAATTTAATGTAAAAATAATCTTATTTTTAATGTTTTATTTTTTTTTGTGTTAAATTTGACACATAATAACTTAGTAAATTCCTAAATCAATTATAATTAATGTTATCATAAAACAAAACAAAAAATTTAATGTTCCATATTTTGTATTATCCACTCAATATATTTACTAATCTTTGTATAAACGCCTGGATCATCATTTCCACAAGGTGTTGTACCATATGTTATAATACCAACAATAAAATACGCCCATTTATTAGAAACATTTTGTAATATTGCAACTGGACCACCGGAATCACCGCCACATGCATCTTTTGTACCACCAGCACAAAAATGTTCCTCACTAAATTTACCTTTAAAATGGTAACCAACATTTTCACGATATATTTTTTCACATTTTTTTTTCGGAACATATGTAATTGCAGCGTAACGTTTAATATCACTAAGCTTTTGATTTTCGGTTTTACCCCAACCCATTATGTACAAATTATTTGGTTCAGTTGGTATTCTTGATTTTTGAGGTGATGTTAAACATATTGGTCTAATATATTTTGTATATGAAACAGTTTTATTTAATTTTAATAATGCAATATCGTTCTTGTTTTCATGTCGAACATAATTCTCATGAATAATATATTTTTCTACACCTAAATATAAAACAGGATCAGCTGTTATTGTCGTATTATCAAATGATGAAATCATTTGATCGGGTTCCAAATTTGTTATATTCCATTCACCTAATCTCAACTCATATATTTTTTGAATTTCTCGTGAATTTTCTGTTTTTGTAACGCAATGGGCTGACGTTAAAACATATTTTTGGTTTAAAAGTGATCCACCACATTTTTGTTTAATTTTACCTAATAAAATAAAAAAGTAATTTATTGAATTAACAAAAAAAAAATTTATATATAATATTAAAAAATTAAAAATATTATTAACCTGATTTGTATTTAACAATTAATACTGCCGTCCAGGGAAACCAATCCATATTAGCTATTTTACCATGAGAAATTCTATTATCTTGAAATAATGGTCCGCAAACTCCTGGCCGTGGTAGAGATGATTTACAACAAACCTATAAATATATAAATTAAATTTTATTGTGCAATTAACCTAAAGCAAAAAATTTAATTTCTTTAAAACTTACAAATATGGTGCCATTTCGGAAACCGCATTGCTTCATTTGTAAATAATTTTTCTCTATTGGTGTTAATTTGTCTCTGTACAGTTGATTATTTATTTTCGGGCAATTATGTATTGGTACACAGACATTTTTTGGCCATAAACATTGATTAGCATCTAAAACATAATTCTAAATAGGTTAATAAATAAAATTTTTAAATATAATTAAAAAAAAATAATTGAATTTTACTTACTAATAGCAGACGCTATTATTAAAATGAAAGCATTAATTAATAAATAATTATTAAATTTCATTATTCTATTGATTTTATTTTATTACTTAATTAAAATATTAAATTTTTGTTTTTAGTTTTCCAATTTCAAACTTTATTCAGTGAAAGTACTATTGCAAGTACATATACTAGAAAAATGAAAAGATTTCGATTTTATTTTTAAAATTTGGTGGTTTTCATTAAAAATAAATTTTGTATTATATGCAAATTCTAAATACATATAATTTTCTACAAACCTCATTCAGTAATTTCAAATAGAATACAGTAAAAGTATCTTAGCAACATAGTAAATTATAAAATAATATTTCATTGGGTCCAATACGTAGGTGATAATATTGCTTCTTGATAATTATGGGATCATTTTAAAATAATTTTATGGAAATCGAAATTAGAACAATTTTATTATTTTTAAATACACAAAATAAATGAGTTTATAATTTAAAATTCTTATAGTAATACAAACATGAAAATAAATGTAGCTGAATAATAACGATCTTCATAATATATGGAAGTTCGTTTGTAACACTATCACAAAACAAATCAAAAATTTCAATGATTTTTAATTCAAAATATTTATAAATATTGATTTGTTAAGGGCAATTCGATAAATATAGATTGCTTATTATAAATGTAGTCATAGTCATTAGCTATGACTTGTAGTCATAGCTAATGTGGTTAGCATTAATTAATTTGTATTCATGAAGTGTAACAATTTTTCATTATGTTTATGAAATTATTAAATATGAAAATAGTTTACGTTAAAAATTTTGCATTTAATTAAAAATTGTTTATGACGTCAGAATGAACCTGACTTCATTTTGATGTGAACTTTATAATTATTGTATTAATAAGAATATAGTAAAAAAGGTCGAACCTATGACATGGATATACATTATCAATTAAATTTTTTACTTATTTAACAAGGACATTTTTCGAGATTAGAAAAAAGATGTGCTTGAATAGAAATCTTGTATTATATTCTTCCTTTAATACAATTTTTTTTTGCCTTAAATTTTTAAGTTTTTATTAAAAAGGCAGCCGGGTCAGAGCTTTAAAGTTCTTCAATTATTTTTAATATTATCTTATGGTGTATTCAGACTTATTAAAATAACATCGGAGACTGAAAAGCTTCAAAGAATTTTTTAATTTAAAAATCAATTTTACTTTAATTAAGTAACATAGTTTTAGTAGAAAGGTACAAAGTTGTATGCGGCACTCCTCACTGAACTACATCGAATAGTTGCTTGGTCTAAACATTTGCTTCATTTAAAAGTATTCATATTTTTTTACCGACCGCATTGTATACAATAAGGGAGGTGATGAGATGGCAAAATTTTCGGATGTCAATTTTTCGGGCGGAACGCACTTCTCTATAGTAAGGAAACGTAAATAAACTTTTTTTAAAGAGATGTCCGTGTGTCAGTCTGTCTGCTTGTATGTGCACGCGTGTGTCTCCGATTTTGATGAAATTTTTTGGGATATATGAAACATCGGGAACTGGGTCTTTCTTTTTGTGATTTTACATTTTCGAGCTAATAAAGAGAAAAAAACCAACTAATCTCATTGAAATTTAATATTTGAGTTCTCGTTGTTACCTGAACTAACTGGCAAATGCAAAAATCTTCTATGAGCCGAATTCACCGTTTTCGGGAAATGTTAGCTAAAACCTCACTAGTATCCTCAAAATGGTAAAAAATTGTTTAAAACGTATTTTCTTTATCTTCTGCAACATTTCCACTAAACTATACAGTATACATTACACTCGATTATGTGCGGATAATATCAGACTTCTTTTTATATGTGAATGATAGTGAGTCGGACCGTGTAGTGTTATAAATGTGTAATTAGTTAATTTAATCGAGATATTTTTTAATTATTTCATATAAAATATTATTTTTTTAAGTGCGCAGATCATTTCTCTTAATAGAGTGTATTGCGAAATGAATAGCTTGAATAGCATTTTTAATCAAAGTTTTTTTCTTCTAACGAGTGTTGTTAAAAATTAATAATTTTTAGCTGTAATATTTCAAGAAAAATTTTCGAAATATTGTCTTTTTAGAAACTGTTTGTACCGACGTAAACTACAAAATTTATGAATGAAAATTCTTTTTCAATAGAAATTGATGTCATTTGTGTAACTGATGACGTTAAGCAAACGTTTTAGCATATTTAATCACTTTTACAAGAAAAGGTTTTAAACTTTTTATTTTCACTAAGCTTATTTCTAGTGATAAATGATTTACTATACGTTTGTTTGAAAAACAAAAATTATTTTTATAACCGCAAAAGTATGCAATATTAAAATTTAAAATTTTATAATTTTATTAAATTGCATACTTTTTGGGGAGCCCTAAAATAATAATTGTTTTCATATCAAAATAGCTAGCTAACTAATTATTTTAAATAAGTTTTAATTTTACCACTATTTTGTTAATAATAAGTTTCTATTATCAGCCTATTATATTTGAAAAAAGTGGAAAATTTGAAATTTCAGATTTAATTTTAAAAAATTTCATGCACGAAAAATTATTATAAAATTGTTCGAATTCGATAAAATTAAAATTCTAGATAAAAAAAAAACTTTAAGGCACCAAACAGAAAACCTAAAAGTGAAATAATAAAATCACATTAATTTTCCATCATCAAACGAGGAGAAAAACAACTTCTAAATAATTTTTTATATTCTATGACTAGAAATATTAAGATAAATTTGCCCCTAAAGCACTTCTGTTTACCTCTTCATTTCTCATTTACAAAGGAATTTTTACTTTAAAAAGGCAATTTTTCATTTTTCTTTTTATTTCGAATTTTATTTCGTTTCTTTTTTTTTTGTTTTCTATTTTTCTTAAATTATATCTTTAAATGTCGATTTGTTATAAAATCTTGAAACCAATGAATTTTCTTCATGGAGAAACATTAAAATTTTGTCATGTTCCCTTTTTGTTTTTGTTTTTTTTCTCTTTTGTGTTGTTGTTATTTATCTTTTTTCTCGTGTCAGAAAATCCTTAAAAATCAAATTTCTGCCTCAAGTAATTCGCCTCATAAAATGTAAAAATTCCACTTTACAATTTAGTAATAATGAAAATTTTTATTTTTTGATCTTTGCGTGATACCTTAATTTTCTATAGAATTCAGATATTTGGGCGTTATAATTTTGTTATAAACAAGAATGTAGGTGTAAAAAATAAATTTATTTATCAAAACGAAACAAATGTCGCGGCTGTAAAACATCAGGCAATGGACTGACCTACAAACAATCGGGTAACCAATACACACCGCACAGAACAAGGAGAGCTTTAGCAATGTAAACGCAAACATCCAGTAGCGGATAAACAGATGAAGAAAAAGAATTTATCATGGAGCACATTTTTAGTCAGGATTTCAAACAATGAGGTAAAACAATCTAAAGTTAATTTATAAATTGCAAACTGAATGACAATAAAATTCAATATCTTACAAAATTCTTTAGTTTTCCTCAAATTATATTAATTTTTAGGGCACAGCCACAGACTCAATAAGGATATAAGTTGGAATTATAAACTAAAAATGAAATTTATAATACCATATTCACATAACTACGAGACATGTACAAATGTACACAATTCATTTAGGAATCATGCATACTTTTGTATTCGGATATTTAAAGAATTTTAAAATGAAAAACCAGGAAAAGCGAAAAAGAAACGTGAAAAGAGAGCAAAAAATTTTTTTTCGTTATTATTTTCTTACAATACCCTATTAATGAGTGTTGTAAGAAAATAATAACGAAACAATGGGTATCAATAGTAAAAAACATTTCATTAGGTCAGTTAACTTTAAGTTCTTTTGATGTTGAGAAATAATATTATTGGTTAAAAGGAAAGTCTCATATACACACGTAACGATATTAAATAACTTTTTTTCATTAGTAGCACATATTTAATATTACACGTTTATGATTAAAACAACACTTTCATCATAAAAATTTTAAGGTGAATCCTGAATTAAGTCAAAAGTATTTTAATCATGTAAATTTTTTCAACTAAAATTATTTTATAAATAAAATAAACAAAAAAAAATTTTTTAAATTTAAAATTATTGTGGATTCGTAATTTAAGTTGTTTATTCCAATTAAAACATTCTATCAAATTTTAAAAGGCCAAAATAATTATAATTAAAGCATTATTGAAACTTAAATTACTCAAAAAGTGTTCACCATTTTCAATTCGGCTTAAATTTTTACACAATCTTTACAATTTTTTTTTAACTCATAATTCACAGCTATTTGGTTTTAAGTTTGTTCACGATGAAAAATTCATGAAATCTGCCAATCAACTGAATAATAGACATGAAATACGTCGCAATATTATTTAGAGATTGTACAATTTGATGTTTCATTGAATTCCCAATCTCTACAATTCACTTTTATCTTTAGACTTAAATTTATTGCATTTCTGTTACAGATTTTCTGTTTTTACAGATTTTCTGTTCAGATTTTCTGAGACAGTCATATTATATTGTAGTACTCAATTCCCTTCCATTAAACAATATTTGGATAAAACCGACATTTTAATGACTTCCTTTTCTTCTCCCCCTTAAAATATTTACACATTTTAATTATTCTTTAAATGAAATAAATCTTATTCAGTAAAGGACCAAAGATAATATTAATTTACTCGAAATAAAATTCAAAATATCTTTCTTATTTGGTTTTTTCCTTTTAAAATTATGTTTTCGTGACCTCTATTAACACGTTGAAAGCCACGTGATTACAATTTTATATACATTGCAAAAATAAAGCTACAAAAAAATTTTTTCCTTAACTTCAGCCCCGATAAAATTTGTAAGTTTATTATTTTCTTTCCTTAAAAGCAAAAAAACAAAACAAAATTTGTAATATTTTAATAAATTGTGTCCT